CTTTCTGTATTGGCATCAAATTTGCTAGATATGTTGAAACTGATGAAGGAGCTATTGCAGCTATGCTGTATTGCAGTGCTAAGTTGCGTAACTCAGAGCTGCCTTGGATTCTCTGTGGAGTAGCACACGATTTAATTCAATGAAACTGTAAGGGTATTTTCAAGTCAAAAGGAGTAGTCTTTCAGCAATGAATCATCATTAAGAATTCATATTTTGTAACAACTTATCTGGTATTCTATCAATGAGAACTGGATTCTAAAAAGAAGTTACTCTATTTATTTTTATTTTTATTTTTTGAGATGGAGTCTCGCTCTGTCACCCAGCTAGAGTGCAGTGGCACCATTTCTGCTCACTGCAGCCTCCGCTTCCCAGGTTCAAGAGATTCTTCTGCTTCCACCTCCTAAGTAGCTAGGATTACAGGCACCTGCCACCAAGCCCAACTAATTTTTTTTTTTTTTTTTTTTTTTTTTTTTTTTGTATTTTTAGTAGAGATGGGATTTTACCATGTTGGCCAGGCTGGTTTTGAACTCCTGAGCGCAAGTGATCCACCTGCCTCAGCCTCCCAAAGTGCTAGGATTACAGGCGTGAGTCACCGTGCCTGGCCAAAAGGAAGTTAATTTAGAATCAATCTAGATACCCATCCCTCCACACATATGAATCACAAAATACCTATAAATCATATTGAGTATTTACTGAATGTCAAACATAAGAATCCTATTACTGTCTGTCTTTGAAAATTAAGGAAATATTAACTCTAAATTACACTTAAGACAAATTGTATACATGAAAACTCTTTAGGGAATATTTAGAAGATTCAGGTAAAATCATGAGAAAAGTTAAAATCAGACTCTCTAATGTATGTGATACAAGGAGAGAATGTACATAACCCAAAGTGCCCAGGGCAGGGTGAGGTCAGTTCTTAAATTCTTGATTGCCTTCAGAACTATTATGATTTTGTTTGACCTTTGTCTTGACTTAATGTCAGCCAATTTTTATGTCTTTATGTAAATATTGAAAAAAATGCTGGCAAAATTTTAAGACAAACACAAAGGTAAATTCTTGTAAAGGCTTCTCAGGTGGTGGGCAACAGTTTGGCAGAAAAGTCAAGCTATTTGGTCCCGGAACAAAGCTCATCATTACAGGTAAGTTTTCTTTAAATTTTGCAATGTAGAGAAGGGATGGGAGGCAGGCATGCAGGAGCTGGCTCAGATTTCTAGGATTCCCTCCTGGTTTGGTCACTGATCATGGTGAAATCTCCAGAGAGGTCAGGTGACTTGGTTCATGCCATGGGAGTCAGAACTTTTCCTGCCCTAGCATGGGAGACATTACTAAGGAGCTTAGACCAACTGCAAATCTCTAAAGGATGGAGGCCTTATGTTCCACTGGTATCTCTCTGTTGAAAGTTTTGTGAACAAGTTTAGTTTAGAGATTTTGTTTCTTCAGTTCTAAAAATAACCAATGGAAAAAAGTAAAAAAAGTAAAAAAAAAAAAAAAAAATTCAGCTACCCTCCTCATTTGGTCACTGAAAGATGAAATATTGGATAATTTGACCAAAGAATGATTACTATCAAATGTAAAAATATTTCACGGTGTGACCATATTTAAAAGTGACATAAGCTGTATTTGTTGTTATTTAAATTGGTCCATGAGTTTGTTTATTATTTGTTAGCTTAAGCTTAAAGATGTAATTTTGCCTGGATGAGAGAAAACATCTCATAAAGATATTCTTGGTCTATTAGGTCCACTGAAATGAAAGTTTTCAGAGAATATTCACAAAGTTGATAAAGCATTGAAAAAAATGAAAGCAGTTTTATAGTTTTATTTCTTTAATGCTTGAGATCATATGATAAAATTAACTTATAAGTTAAAAAGTGACCTTGTGATTCTCTTTTATCCAGTTGACTTAACGTGAATGGTAGCAATCAAAGTCATAATTTGTAGTTTTCTGAGAAGTGATTTTTCAGGAAAGTGCGGTGCAGGAAAAGGTATGGACTTTGTTTCTCGATGACTCCCGGGGCTGCCACTTTCTATGTAACTGTCCTTTAGGAAGTGTATTTTGATTCACCAAGTATTCAAATTATAAAAATGCTGGTTCATTATAGAAAAATTGGAAAACACAAAAATAAACAAAAAATTATAATTTGATATTGACCCTCATCACATTATCTGTTAACTTTTATTTAAACATTTTTTCTATGCTTTTTGTTTGTTTGCTTTACAAAGTTGGAATCATAGACTAGACACACAATAATAGATCTGGCTTTTTCACTTCACACTACTTCATAAACATTCTTTTCAAATGTCCTTAATATTTTGCAATAACAGAGCAAAGTTGAAAGTTCTGATTTCAAGTTGATCTGTACAATGAAAGTAATGGAGATTATTTATCTCGAAGGAATATTGTATATATTACATGAAATTAAATATGGAAATTACCCACCAGAATGCCTGGCACTTGGTAGGTGATAGAAATATTAATTCCTCTTCCAGAATTCAAGTTACTACCCATGAGAGGTCTTTATACACTCAGGAATATAGATAAATGTATCAACCCCATCTATTCAACAACTCACTTCAGAACAAATATCACTATTTGTAAAATGCTTTCTATTTCTAAAAAACTAATTGTACCTGCTTCTAAAAGTAATTAGAATGTTTTATGTATTATCTTATATATGATCTGCTTGAATACAAGGTGATTTTTCATTTTCCAGAGAAAATTTATATAAGTTTAAGAAAATATGTATTTCCCCTCTCCCAACTTGAATATGTAAATTTATAGGGATACAGGTAAAATAGTCAAATGTCTACTTATAACATTTAATTTCTTAACTGGATCATACCTACAAAGTTAAAGATTATGTCAATACCAATATCAGTTGAGAAATATTGGCTTTGGTGCCCTTATATTTCATTAAAGATTTTGTTTTGATGCTTCACATGCATCTAAAGCAACTACCTTAGAGCAACTTTCTAAGGCATCTCAGTTCTCAGTGTCCATTTTGGATTCCTCATATGATGGTGTCCCTGAATATTTTATTCTGAGAAACAATTATCCACTCACAAAATAAAAGGAAATTATTTTTTCCGATTTATTTTCTGTTATTCTACATTTGTATGAAGTAAGTAAAAACTACAGGGACCTTAGCCCCAAGTAATAATGACCAAATTCATGATACATTTCTTTGCTTTTTCTTTCCTTTTACCAGTGCTATCGCCCCAAACTAGCATTCACTGAGTTCATTTCATGTTGATATCTCGTCCTGTTAGTCCTTCTGGATCAAAGCAGAGTATTTGAAGAACATTTTTTAATATGAGAGGTTACACAAAGACTGTACCATTCATAAGGCACCCCCCGCCCCCCGTTGTGAGAGAAAATTTTGGGAAAGAAAGCCTCATTTTATGTTCTGGCAGTTTCTTTCTGTCTATATAAATTTAGTATGTAGGTGTCCCTATCACAGAGCTAGGATTTGCAAACGTGTTCGCCATTCCTAGTGTCTTATTTGAGCTTGACCATTAAATAAATACAGATGATCAAAAGCTCCAAGGAAAGGAGAAGGAAAAAGGCCTGTGATTACCTGGCAAGGAGCACAGGTTAAAATTTTATCCCCAAATGTAGGATAAAAAGGTAGGGGAATACATAAAATTCTGATAAGTGTATTACTGGATAAGATTAACGCAAGAGTATCTCTGAAAATAATCAATAAAAATGTTTAATAAGAGTTTTGGAAATGTTGCCATTTTTGTTTCTAAATTCAAGAGATGGTGAATAATCTGGAGGTACAGCTGTAAATACTGCTCCACCCCAAAACTTGGAGGGTGCAGACGTGAAATTGAGATGTTATATAAAGATAGATATTAACCAGGAGGACTGCTCATGGTATATACATTGAAGCTACATGGTCAACTTGATAGACAGTACGTACACGTGGAAGTAGATTCTCACTAAAACAAGTGACTGTGTATTGTTAAAAATAAAAGTGAACAAAATGGCTAGGCATGGTGGCTCATACCTCTAATCCCCGCACTTCTGGAGGCTGCGACAGGCAGATGACTTGAGTGCAGGAGTTTGACACCAGCCTGGTCAACATGGTGAAATGTGTCTTTACAAAATACAAATATTAGCCAGACATAGTGGTGCATGCCTGTAGTCCCAGCTACTTGGGAGGCTGAGGTGGGAGGACCACTTGAGCCTGGGAAGTGGAGGCTGCAGTGAGACATGATTGTGCTGCTGCATTCCAGCATGGGCGACAGAAAAAGCCCAGTCTCAAAAAAAAAAAACCAAAAAACCAAAAAAACAAAAAAGAAACCAAAAAACTGACATTTATTCATATGGGAAATAAGATAAATAGTAAGATTTTTAAAATGTGACATTTATTCATATGAGAAATAAGATAAATAATCAGATAAATATGGTGCATCACAGAATCAGTGAAATGAAGAGTGGGAGGACACAAAATTGTGGAACATGAGAATGTGTGTTATTTGGTCAAAGAACATAAGTTACAAAGGATGGAAAACGGAAGTGGGAAAAGGACCAAAGAGTCTCATCTGTAGAGAGATCATTGAAGTTATCTGATCTTTTTCCCCTTTCCCCTGCCATCCACCTTGAAAACATGCTTCACTATAATGAAACTAAAGAGATAAAAAATAAAATAAATATGTTCATGAACATTGGAAGCCTTGGTAGGAGGCAGTTAAAAATCACACTCCCTCACAGTATGTGCAGAATAAACAAAGGCCAGGTTTTCATCCAGCATCTGACACTTGAGAGCTGTGACTTTTGGCAAGTTATTTAACTTTTTGATCCTCTTTTCAACATCTGTAAAATAAGCACAGTAATAAGTACTGTGCAGCCTATCCTGGATGAAAGGCCCCGGTGGACACTAGCTCAATGGCACCGTCTCTTTTTATTGTTATGTACTAGGCCATTCCAAACCGTGCAATGTGTGTGTTTCTCTCATGATTCTTTTAAATTCATATTCCATTTCTCCCCATAGATAAACACCTTGATGCAGATGTTTCACCCAAGCCCACTATTTTTCTTCCTTCCATTGCTGAAACAAATCTCCATAAGGCTGGAACATACCTTTGTCTTCTTGAGAATTTTTTCCCAGATGTTATTAAGATACATTGGCAAGAAAAGAAGAGCAACACGATTCTGGGATCCCAGGAGGGGAACACCGTGAAGACTAACGACACATACATGAAATTTAGCTGGTTAACGGTGCCAGAAAAGTCACTGGATAAAGAGCACAGATGTAAATCAGACATGAGAATAATAAAAATGGAGTTGATCAAAAATTATCTTTCCTCCAATAGGAGCAATTATGTGTTTACACATATCATCTCCTCAGAACACGTCTGCCACAAAAGGGAATCCTGCATTTTCCTTTCATTATTAATGAAAACTTAATATAAATCTTTCTTAATTGGTGTCACATTTAATGGTAGCATAAATGCCCTGCTACTTTTCTATAAATTAAAATGGTGTAGGTTTTGGAGAAAATAGAATTGAAAAGGTTACTGAAGGTTTCTCAGCCTCAGCTCCATTATCCAAAATAAGAAATCACATGCTGGTTTTAGGGTTGTTAGATGGATTAAAGGAAACAATATGCAGGCTTCATCTAGCAATGAAGCAAGTGGTAGCTCAAAAGGTTCTCCCTTCTCTTGATGACTTACTTGATCGATAGAACAAATATATACCTTTTAGGAATGTTCTGCTAGGCAGGCCGGAGTCACCTCAGTCTTGCTACCCCACAAGAGTTTAACCCTAAAAACAGTAGGTTATTGTTGACAAAATGATATTTATCTAAAAACAGTTCCAATTTTCTTCCTTTGCCGAGACACAAGGGAAACTGATGTGCAAAAGCCTGAGGAGTGATCTGCCACTGTGCTTCGTGAATCTGATTTTCCAGTAGAGTTAGGGCAAAATAAAATGTATAGTAAGTTCCAGGACAGTAAAGATATTATACAGGCGACAAGTTACAGTTTTATAATGTGTTTTCTTTACACTAAATTCTAAAGTAAATGTCTTTCTACCTACTTTTTTTTTTTTTTTTTTTTTGGGATAGAGTTCCTTTCATTGCCTAGGCTTAGGAGTGCTCTGGCACCATCTCAGCTCACTGCAACTTCCTACCTCCCGGGTTCAAGCATTCTCTTCCTAAGCCTCCCAACTGGCTGGGATTACAGGCGTCTGCCACCACACCTGGCTAATTTTTCATATTTTTAGTAGAGATGGGGTTTCACCATGTTGGCCAGGCTGGTCTCGAACTCCTGATCTCAAGTAATCAATCTGCCTTGGCCTGCCAAGTGCTGGGATTATAGGCGTCAGTCACTGTGCCTGGCCTAAGAAATCTAATGTCTTTCATGCACTTATCAAGAGACAACTACGTTAAGGAGGACACTGCTCTTAATGTCATTTCACAGTAAATTTCTAATGCTCTTTCTTGGGGTTGTTTTTTTCTGAGAAAAGCTAAAAATATAACATGGAAGTGATCATATTATATAATCAATGATGCTTTTAAAGGAGATAAAACAATCCGGTCCACATTTACATATTCAGCACGGTTAAGAGAGAGAACTCAGGATACTCTGCAGATTTATTATGAGGAATAGTTGCTGTTTTTTTATCTCAATCAATACATGAAATAAGTATTAGTCATTTTCATTTATCTTTTAATAAATAAAATTAACCTAAGAGAAAAGAAAAACGTGAAAGCCAATAAAAATCCAGCCATAAAGATATTTGAGGCATGCAGACATGATAACTAACAGTATTTACATTGTGGAACTTACCCAAACCTGCCTCAGTCATTTGAGAATACATGAGAATAAGATCTCAGTGAGTGCATAAAACTGCACACCAGAATCATATCCGTATAGATAAGAACACATCTACTAGAAAAATAATAAACCCAAACACCAATCGACTCTGTTTTCTTCTGCTTCAAAATATGTTGTCTTTGTTTGCATGTTTAAATCTTCCTTTTTTTTAAACATCACAGATACATTCAACTCTCCTCAGGTTTATTCAGAGAACTATCAATGTGACTTGGCCCATCTCTTTCTCGTCCCAGAAAGAATTGCACTGAAATGCTAAGCTCCTGTAATAAAAGACCATTTGCTGAGAATAATTAACATACTCGAGATTTTCTTAGAGTACACAATGGTAGCGTTATGGTATCTCTTTATATAAATTACTTTCTATCTATTTCTGTGATTATTTCTACTGAAATGCCCTTTCAAATGTCCAATTTCTTTTCTTCCCTATGACTACTGTCTGAATGCTAGCTCTGTTGTTCACTGATACGACTCTCAACAAGTTACCTGCACTTTTTAAACTTCATTTCCTCATTCAGAACATTAGGTCATACATAATACAACTCACTTCAGTGTTATTAGGGGAATTAAACAAAATGCATGGGAAGCATTCTTCCCATAAATACCTAGAGACAATGTGGGCCTCAATGGTAATGGCTTTTGTTAATGTTGTTGTTGTTATGTCCAGAAACACTATTCCTCCAGAAAATCATGGGTATTTGCTGAGGACATTGAGGACATGCATGATTTGGAAAGGAATGACTGCTTTTCCTGCTTAGGTAGAAATTTTCCTAAGCAGACTCCTTCAGACATGTAAGATTCTGTTATGGATTCTAGGACTGAAAAGAATTCTTGGCGGGTGTGGTGTCTTGTCCTGTAATCCCAGCATTTTGGGAGGACAGGGAGGGATGCTTGAATCCAGGAGTTCAGAACCAGCCTGGGCAACCAGCAGAAACCCTGTCTCTACAGCATACAAACGTAATAGCTGGGCATTGCTGATATGTGCCTGTACTCCCAGCTACTCAAGAGGCTGAGATCGGGAGGATCTGCCCTGTGCCTGCAAAAGGAGGTTTGAGGCTTCAGTGAGCCGCTGATATTTACACTATACTCCACTCCAGCCTGGGCAACAGTGAGACTTTTCTCAAAAAAAAAAAAAAAAAAAAAAAAAACCCAAATTAATCTCTTTGCTGATCTTGTATTCAGTGGTGTGTATTAAAGGCTGTAAAGTAACCCTTGTTTCTGTTTATTTTTCCATTGGAACAAATATTTATCAAAAACATACTTTGCTGTAGACACTGTGCTAGACTATGAATACAGAAGGAAAACCAAATGATCTTGGATACTACACTCCAGTTGGAATAAAAAAAGAAAAAAAATATATTCTTCATGAACCCGACATATTGATGTGCAAAAACATAATATATGAATTAGATCTATCATCTACATAGAATTAGACAATTATTTCTGGAATTGTAGGCTCATATTTTCATAACTGTCCTGCCTCTCCTGTTTGACAGGTTTATCAATATTCATTTAATTACACACACACAAACATACACACACATCTTCGGCAAATAATGGGCATGAGAATAATTGGCTAGTGCACTCTCATTCTAGATGTCACCGGTGGTCCAAAACAATTGTTCAAAAAGATGCAAATGGTAAGTTTTGTGTTTTACTTCCTCAATGATCATTTTAACTTTTAGACTTTCTGGCTTGAAAAATCCAAGGGAATGGTTACATTAGGTTGGATGCTGCAGAATGGACCTTGTGATATTTTAAATTAGTCCCTCCTTTTCTAGGAGTTGTATTAACAAAGCAAACTACTGCTTTGGGGTATGAGATGACTGTAAATTAGAGGGTAAAGTGATATGCTTTTAACTATTTCAAAAAACATTTTATTCATCCAAGTGTCTTTTTTTTTTTTTTTTTTGGACAGAGTCTTGCTCTGTCACTCAGGCTGTAGTGCCGTCATGATCTCAGCTCACCACAACCTCTGCCTCCCAGCTTCAAGTGATTCTCCTGCCTCAGCTTCTCAAGTCGCTGGGACTACAGGCGCATGCCACCATGCTGGCTAATTTTTGTATTTTTAGTAGAGTCAGGGTTTCACCATGGTGGCCAGGCTAGTCTCAAATTCCTGACCTCACGATCTTGCCCCCTCGCCCTCCCAAAGTGTTGGGATTACAGATAATGGGCCACTGTGCCCAACCTCATATCTTTTGTTTTAATGATTGGGGCTTGATACCATGTTGCTTCTCGAGTTATTTTTGTTTTAGTCTTTGGTCTTTGCACAGTGGCTAATAGCAAGAACTAGTGTTTATCAAGCGCTTTTTACACAGAGGGCTTGAGTTGTATTCACATTTTCTTGTATAACCCTCTTAATACCTAAAATGGTATTCTTTTTTTCTCTACACACTCCACCTTTAAAAAGCAATAATTGCAAAATCCTATACATGTCACGTCAGTCAGGGTTTCAAATCAGGCCATCAAACAAAGAGTTTATGTACTTAGTAAGTTTCCTATTTTCTGCCAATGAGTCAGATAGCAAGAAATTACAAAGCCAGGAACCCAAAGCAAAAAGGATATAATGTGGGGATGGGTGGGTGCATGGGCTTTTGCAGAGTGAACTTCACTCCAGCTCTTTACAAATGATTAGGTGTAAATGACCTATATTTTTGTAGATTACATCTTAAATGTTAACAACGAATAATTACATCAGATTCACGTTTTTGAAGGGTAAGAGCATGAATGTGAGATGTGCATAGGGTATCTGTTTATGAACCTGGAATGAGTCTTGTTTCTGGCCTTTTCTCTCTACATATACACAAGAATGTGGCTGACGGTGGCTCAGCCCTGCTCAACTTTCTTCTGTTCCAATACCAAAGAGGCTCTGACAAGCTGCACAGGCAAGGAGAGGCAGTAACATCTCACTTGATGAAGGGGCGAGGGAGTTATGAGCATCACTTTTCCACACCACCCATGCTAAGATGAAACACAGTTCATGACATCATAGAAGACAAACATAAATGAAATTTCTGCAGGCAGGGCTCATGGCCCTCATAGCTCGTTAGTAGCCACTGGTAGTCCACCCTTTGTCTTTACTTATTCCTTGGCCAGCATATATCTTACAAAACCTCAAATAATAATATTAATCACCCAATAACAACATAATGTAATCAGAGACATTTGGGAAGACAGGTGGGTGTGCCTGGCTACCTAACACATTAGGGAATCTGGATTAACCACTTTCTTTGCTTTCCTACAATGCAACCTTACTTTTAATAGCTTGGAATGTTCTCATTAGTTGCTTAGAGGTTGTTAATCAGCAGAAAGCTGAACTCTGACTTATCTGACTCTTGGTAGGTGAGTGGTAGCAGTAGATGTTTACTTTTAGGTTTTGGTGGTGAGTAGAATGTCCTTCAATGTAAATCGTCAG